TAGGGCCAGTCGAGTGAGTTAGGTAGAAGTAACAGTTTTGGGTGATTATTTGCCACTTACTCAACATTTCCCATTCTTGTGGCTATACAGGGGATCGTTGACGGAAGTTCCTCAGCAAAATATTCCCTAAATGTCCCTCTATAAGTACACGCAGGCCCTCCTTCACTACCCTCACCGTCTTCAGAATATGACGTCATCTGTCACCGTCGTCGAGCTCAGGGAGGCCTACAGTAACTGCTTCAGCCTGAAGCTCTTACATAATTTCTTGGATCGATTCAACGTGGGATAGTTTCCTAGGGACATTAGCTCTAACTATGCAAACCCCCTCGGAACCCGTCGTAACGGTACACGATCAGTCGAGAACCCCATTGAGCTCGACCAGAGCACCATGTTTCCGGGGCAAATTTTTCTGATGCCGTCCACGTAGATGGCCACTATGAAGATTTTCTTATGAAATGAAATGCGCTCTTCAATTCTAAGTTGGGAGCACACGCTTTGAGCTGAGCAAAGTGTGATTAAATCCATTTGAGTCTGGAGACAAAATGTCTTTTTTTATTGCCCCCCCCCCCCTGTATATAATATAATGGACAAAACGGTACGATTACATGCAGCTTGGGCGAAATCTTGGTACTCTTCAAACGAAATTCATCCATTGATCTAGCGTACTCTGAAATAAGCTTTTTGCTTGTGTCCCTCTGAAGTCTGGTTCATTCATTGTGTCGAAAACAAATTGTGAAGCCGCTGTAATCTGTTCTGCTATACAATTCTCCTTTCCTTGTTCAACAATGTAAGACCATGGCGAGAAGATTGCAGGCCGAGCGCTTCTCATCGTTAGACCCCCGGCTCAGTGCGAGGTGGCGGTATAACTCTGGTGAATGCGATTAGTTTACGGGCTCTAGACTCGAACGCAAGATTTTCTGATCAGTCCGCCATCAGTAAAGTCTGCGGCAATAATGACGTTGTCAGTGAGTGATATTTTCCGGATTTGAAGTGGTAATTTCAATTATTCGTTGTACCAGCTCTCATGAAACGCAGACAGATGACCATATTCCAGATGCCACGAATACCGTTGTGCGGTACTTGATTAGAGAGCGTGAGCGCACTGTGTTACGCTTCTTCGTGGTTCGTACGATTGGGAGGAGCGAGCGGGTTGATGTATTTCATAGAAAATTATCCGGACTCCGTGGTCCTCGCCAACATGAGCGGATTCATGGAGAGCTTGATTGAGGTATTTCTACCGGCCATTCAAAATTTCAATGATACTGTTGTTCATAAAGAAGCCGAACTGATTTCAGGTTCTATTGGGATGACTGATCAGGTGTCTTGTGGTGCCGTGGACATGGCTGTGGGTGCCATAGAAAAATTGCAGAAACGATGTCTTGCCGTGAGTCCCTTTCTCTTATTTAAGTGTTTGGGTTATCAGTCGTATCAAAGGAAATTTTCATTGTTCAGGGTTGTAACATCAACGATCCGAAAGTATCCGTGTTTATGAATTGCGTTGCAAATCATTTGTTCAGCGGAAACCAACACGTAAGACAGAAGGTAGGCTTCATGAAGACCCATTATTTCAGTTGTCTGGAGGTATATCGTAGTTCTAAAATGAGGCTAAGTCCCGGCAGTGCTGACCAAACCTTCTTTCCTGCAGAATTGGCTAATTCGTGCGAGAATTTTCTTCGAAATTGCGAATGTTGATGGTCATGCGTTTTAAATAGTAGACAGCAATCTAAATTCCTATTTTTTTTTTCGAATGAGGTATTATACAGTAGGTATTCTCTTCTTTTTCGAAAACCTTTCCATTTTTATTACAAGTGGTTACTTTTAGACGTTGGCCATGCTGAATACGTGTGCAGGAGTACTTGGAGTATCTTTCTCGTTAATGTGCAGCTATCGGAGACGGTCGTGCACTATAGTATGGCGGGTTTTTAACGCTTCTCGAAAAACTCATTCTACACGAGATAGTAGCCTTGCATTTTAATTGTATTTTTTATGTCGTAAGCCTGGAGGAAATAGGGGACGCGCAACAGGGATAAGTGAAGTTATCGTCTACAAGTGTACGGTAATGTACGGTGCTGGTCTAAAATGGCGGAGGTGTTAGGATTTCTGTTTCTATTCAATGAGGTGTTTTCGTAGTGGCCACCTCTTATGTTGGAGTCCTGAAAATGTCGGTCGGTAGATGCCAATTGAAACTACTCTGTGTAGGGGAAGGGAAGATGGATGTGGATTGCGCCATGGGGCGGGCCCTATGTAAGATAATTTCGCCATTTCCTCGGGGCGGTTAACACGTCCGATAAGTTACATAAATTTCTTCGAAACTTAGGACTACGGGTTAAAACGTGTCTCATAGGAGACAGAATTCATAGCTAGTTAGCTATTCAATCGATACTAATATTGGAAGTCCGCACCTATCAGTGGTCTGGTGGAAGTTTCGCTCTGGTTAATAGTCAAAATGTCTTCCAGCTGTAATTTGTGATGAGAATGCACCGTGCCCTACATTGCGTAGTGTATCCATACTACAAGACGCTTGTAGTAGCTTGTTACGAGGGTGTACACATCAAAAATTGTTAAACCTATTTTCGTCACAGCTGTAATTAAGAGAATTCGAAAATGTCTGCTATTCTGGCGCCAAGTAACGTTACTTACGGCCCATTCCGGAATTCTTGTGTATGTGCAGTAGAATGAGAGGGTTCGCGGATGCTGGTTATTTTCGATAGATTATACGATGTTTGCGTGCATAGTTTCACTTCATAGTCGAAAAAATACAGAACCGATGTCTTGAATAATGGTGGTCACCATTTTCAATTGATCGTTAGTACGCCTAAGCATGACGATTGTGTATAAAAGTGGCACTAATTATCCTACAACTGCCCACTCTTCAAACAGGGCGACGAATATTTTGATCGAGATTTTTATGACTGTGGATTTGGCTAGAAAGTTGTCGCCGAGCAATTCAATCCGTAGAACACGAATGTCACAATCGTGTATTGCGCATACACTTGGCGCCTACGTCATACGTACCGGCTCCAAATGGCACCAGAAACGCTGGTTTTGTGGCGCGGGCGCAGCCATTTTCGCGCTAAACTGATGTTAGATCCGTGTTTGCAAGCCAATATTGTAGCCAAATCCTTAGACCTGGACAAAATTCTATTAAACTCCGGCCAGTTTTTGACATGTGAACAGTAGAGGGTAAATAGTAGCTGCCATTGCGCTGTCAGGCGCGGAGGCTCTGCAAAACAGTACATATTAATGATTTAGAGCGTGCAATGAACGAATTCAATGTACTGGCACTGCTTGACCGTTGTGGATGTTTGGAAGCGCTGTGTACGATTTTCACCTGCCAGCCTCCCCTCGTTGACATCTCGATTGAGTCGGACAGAACTCAGAAGTTTGCGAGTGAGCTCATTGCTGTGTGCCAGATGCATATCAACGAAATGCTTGAGCTGTAAGTAGGCCTTACGCCCTATTCGAATTGCTCAATTTGGATTGGTACTGTATCAGTGATTTTTAGTGAACTTTTCAAATCAATGGACGGTTGCCCTGCTCATTTCGCTTCACCGTATACGTCCGCGGAGAAAGCGAGTACACAAAATTTTTGTCTACATAGTATTTTTGTTTACGTTGTTCCTCAAGTGGATGCTCTTCTGTTGGAGTGTTTTTTTACATTCACTTCACGCTCATAATTTTTTCGATAAGAACTCACAAGTTTATTTTTTTAGCAAGGTATTGACCCATCAATTTTCGTTACGTGTGTGGAAAATCGTTTCAGTGGATAATTCATTGCAGAAGCTCTGGTAACATTATACAAAGCTCTCATACTGCAAGCTGAAAATGACGATCTCCAAAGAGATGGACACTTCCACATCTACAACACCTGCAAGGGAGTTAACTGTAACGCTAGAAAAGATCGCCTGCTGTTACTATTGAAACAATTCTCTGCCCAATACCGTCTGTGGTTAAAGCCGCTGAAGAAGCTCTTATGCAGGTAAGGCTAATTTGGTTCATTTCCGCAATTATCGAAATAAATTCCGTATAGATCTCTCCAATTGACGCCAACTGTGTGCAAATAGTTGGAGAACCAGTGTTCGATTTGTTCCGTGAATCGGACGGTGAGAATCGCAACTCGGGTTCAGTGGCTCAACTTTATCGTCTTATTCGTTTGAATACTTCTCTCTTCGACATAACACTAGCGACCGACTCTCGTTGTAAGTGTTAATCTATGTTGTCATACTACAAATTCAAAAAAAATACTAGCAAAAGTTTTACGATTTAGAACTACATTGCGGGCACGTTACTCGTATTCACCTCTGTATTCATCTACAGCATCATGCCCAACATACTGACGGTCAGGATGAAGGCAATTAACTCAGCTGTGCGTCTGTTACTCTGTTGAATGACCCGTCAGCTCAAGCTGCACGGATATCACCGCTTTTTATTGCATATTTTCGACCATCCACTATTCACTCACGTGAGTTCCAGCGCTATCATTTTTTTATTCATAATATCTGACTTGTCCACTTATTTTAAATTTATCCCTTTTTCGCCATTTTAATTTTTCGCTCCTGTTTATTATTGTGAATATTAGCTCGATTTCCGAAATATCAGCTCGAAAAAAATTAATTTAATTAATTAAAATTCAAATTCAAAATTAATCAGAATACGTTGGTTGGTTATTCTAAAACTTTTCCACTTTAGTAAAGGGCATTTTTACGTTAAACCTATTATGATGCACTGATCTGCGGTGATTTCTGATTCCGCAGCTCAAAAAAGTGACTGCTCTTCTGAGTGGCCGACGGTGTACCATGCTGTGTTTTTCCACAGAAGTATCTTCCTTGAGAATTCCTTCTCAAACCAAAAAGTGCTCGATACTATTATTCAGCAGCTTAATTTTCTTGATGGGGCAATTTTTCCAAATACCCATTGTGAACGCATTGCCTCTTTTTTAGGCTTACGATGCTTGGATTCCACCTTTGGCGACTTTGTTGTCGCGTTACGCTCGGGAGTCCATGGCTTTCTTCCTATCTGAGGAATCGCTTTCGATGTCATGTCGAAGAGCGCTGCTGAGAAAGCTGATCAAAGACGAAGAATGTTCTCCTATACGGAATTTGCTTATGCAGGATTCGTCATATTTCGTGAACCTACTTGAAAATAGAGTCATGGTATGTGTTTTTATACCATTTATCTTAATACTGGAGAAAACATCGTGTTTTTGAGCACGATTAAAATTTTTGGGCTAGTGGGAGTTTTTTTTTTCAAATAATTACGTGATAAAGTGGCTTTAACAAGGGCCAAGACGTTGTAGTGATAAGGTAATTGTAAAAACTGGCATTAGAAACTAAAAGATGACCAGACTTGGAATCAAAAGCGTTGCTTCATTCATTACTGTACCATATGTGTAAGGTAAATGATATGAGGAAAATGTGAGTACCGCATTGCACGCTCGCATTGATGATCATTCCGTGCTCTCATTACAACTGCCAGTTTGTCCGCCGGACTCATCCAGGACGCAACCTTCACTACGACCAGCTTTATACTTCAGTGGCTTGCAATTCCCATGTGAATGTCGGTACTTCCGTGGAGGAAATCCGTATGCGCAGAGTGTTTAATGTAGCAAAGGGCTATGAATGAGGTCTCCACACTGACATGGTCGCTAAGTTGTTAGCAATTGGTATTTCAATCACCCTCCTTCCCCTACCTATTCTTGTGTGAGCTGCCCTGCAGGACCATTATTCCATAGCACTGTGTTCTCAGTGAAAGGTCTAAATAGCATTTAGGCCGGAAACGAGGTACGCTTTCTGACGGGGGGGACCGGTATTTGATGTTGGGGGGGGATGGGGTAGCAGAGGTCACTGGGCCTACTTCAAGCTTGTCGGTACACTAGAGTATGATGCAGTGATGACATGCTAGGTCAACAGCTTCGCTAAGGTCAGGTTTGCTTAGGTAAGGTCAAATTGAGGCGGTTTTAAGGACCGAGTTGAAGTAGTACGCCGACCGTCGGGGACCTCCCCTCTCCAACACTCAGCGTACGGCTCCAGCAGAAACAGCAGCTTTGCTTGCTTACCGAGGGACCTGCGAACTATCCAATTTAGTGAGCGATTGGGCTAAGCTGCTCAGGGTCTTGTCAAAGCCGAGCACTTCTACGTTACGGTTTGAATAATTCTCGATCTTGACCGCAATCGTTTTCGTTTTTATCGATTCTGAGCTTCTAGTGTTTTTGAGAAAATCTATTTTTTCTCATGAATGTGTACGTTGCGATCAGCGTTTTCTGTACTCCGTCCTCATCTCCGGGAGTTTCAACTCAATGGCACTGAAACAGGCTTGTACCAACGCGAAAGCGCAGTGTACTGTATTCTCAGAGAACTTATATGCTTTGGACTAGACGCGTCGATTGACCATGAGGATTATAAGGACTTTCAAGGATTTTCTGTGCTTGGCGAGATCCTCTCCCTCGCAGCAAACCGAGTCGGGTATCATGGAGCGCGAAATGTTATGTCTTCACATAATTGACGCTGTTTCTCGGAGAAATGTTCAGTGGTTCGCTGGTGCTAAAGATCTGGTTATCAAACTGAGACAGGTCAGTCCTCATTCGAATGTAGTACTGATCTCCTTCTGTGCGTGCCCCAATAACTTGAGTATTAGCGTCCTCCATTTCAGTTGTGGAACAATGCAGATTTCAAAGGACGTTATGTGGTTCATGCGCCATGCAATAAAGACCTACTGGAAGTTGACGATCAAACCGATGACAGAGCACAAAGTATAAGGTTCCAAGACTCCTAGTGAACTGTTTCATCCGACATTACAGGTATATCTCGGGTATTTTTGTAGTATATCAATTTCTATAGTCGACTTGGCTTTCTCAAGCAATCCTTCGCTTTCAGACACAACAGTAACGATCTTGATCTACTGTGCGACATACTTTTCGTGTTCATAGGGAGATACGTTACTGATTTTTGTTTTGTTCGTGAATTTCTCGAAAGGGAAGTGATACCGGTAAGTACCCGCAGCATCTGTGGTGAGTTGCTGAAGGATATATCATTCTTCAGACGTATTCCATGGAATGGCGACGAAAACTGTTTTCCTATGTTCTGGGAAAGTTTGAAGCAGGCGGCTCCACTGTGATAAAAGATCTTCTGTATGTGAAAATCGTGCAATACGTCCTGATACCGAGTCTTCAGTGGGCTTTTGAGCGCTATAATGTTGACGAAGTAAGTTCTCCCGAATTTTTTCCATGGTGCTGTATTTGACAGTTGACTTCAGATTCTGGGAGAGATACAAAATCCTTCTGAGCAACCGGAAAATGATCCCAATGACCTGGTGTATCGACTAGCACATGTGAGTACTTTGTGCTTATTACAACAGCTGAAATCAATGTTAGATGCAGTAGAACTTATAAGAACATTACAGATAATTGACCAGAATCGCCAGGTGATGAGTGATGGTATTGTGATCGTGCTTTACCAGCTTTGTACGCTTCTCGTGAAGCATGCACCACGGCATGTTCATAATAATGATTCAAAGTGAGTCACCTTGCTACTGTAAAATGACTGTCAGTTGCTCTAGTACTGAATCAGGGTCATTTGTCGCTTTTTTCCGATTTTCACGACCTCCAACCCGTTCTCTTGGAAGTGTTTCGACACGACCGTTCACCGCTAGCCTTTGGGATTCGGCCTTTCCTCACCATCAGCCCTTCCATCACCCTTACAACCATTGCTTTTTTTCTTAAGAACGGCAGCTGATCGA